ATTATTCAGGCCCTCTTAGAAAGTCAGCTATTCGTCATATACCTTCCTTAGGTTGAAACAGAGACCATTTATCTCAGCAGAGGGGTATGTAAGGACCCTGATAGAAATTATATTGCAGTTTTATCCAGCCAGTCTATTTGTTACATAAGAAAAAATAGGTTGGAATAATCCATCTCTAATTTACCTTTAAATGAAAAGCATAGTATACTTTGCACAGGCTTCCTTGAGCTGGTAAACAACATGCTGACTACCGGCTTTGTGACGGCGCTCTTTTCCGACGATGAGCGCGACGCCATAATTGAACGTATTTGGCCAGTGGCCGAGGCATTTTACCGCCAGCAGGAGTTGGCTATGACCAATGCCGTAGTATGTGCTGGTGCTACTCCAAGCGCTGGTGGCCCCGTATTGTCTGCAGCTTCGGTTGGCGGAGTCTCAACATTCACAGTTTCGCCGTCTGCCCAGCCAGCTACTCCACCAATCGGATCTGGTGTCGGGGGGACTCAAATGGCCATTTTTTCAGCGTCAACAGCCACAGTAGCAGGGGTCGGTCCTGGCCTGCATGCACCACCGAATACTACTTCTCATAGTGCTGCTGCTGTTGGTGGTGGTGGAACAATTTCCGGACTGACGGCTGCCGCCGAAACGACAAAACCTGGAGGAGGGGGACCTAGAAGCGTGCCTATTACCAAAGAAACTGTATGGAAATATTTCCGTGCCTGCTGCTCTGCTCGCCTTCATATTGTTCTGGCAATGAGTCCAGTAGGACCTAGTCTACGCAATCGGTGCCGTGACTTCCCTGGTATCGTCAATTGTACAACAATAGACTGGTTCTTCCCCTGGCCAGAGCAGGCGTTGTATGCAGTGGCATGCTCATTGATCGACCCCAAGGTGACCTAATTACTATTTTAAAACGAAGCTCTGAATTGGATCCTATAATATTATACTTCGGGCTATTGGTATTTGATTTTCTATACAAATTTTGCACTACATCATATCTTGTGCTTCACATAAGAAGGATTCTTTGTCTGCCCTGGCATCTAAGTGGCCGTAGTGTTTTAGTAGTTAGATGTTGATTTTAGACCTAGTTATAAACTGTAACTTTAGGAATTCATATCCGTCTCCATATATTAAATGCTGCTGTTAGATAA